GTGTGCAATAAGTAGGGGAGAATGAATTGTATGTGGATTATTTAAACTTGTCTGGAGTAGTGAAAAATTGTGTGATAAAAATGTTGTGAAGGACTTGATGTATGAGTATGAGACTTACGCTCATGTGTACAAGGTTGAGAAGGTACTCGAAGGAGTCCGGGGGAGTTCCAAAGCAATCGTAAGACTCATACTTTCACCGACCGTGACTTCTACGCGTTCCACCCAACGAGTTTTCCACCTGAGATAAAAGAGGTAATAGAAACACACGTGACCATGTTGCCACGTAGGTTACTGGTACCAGGTGCAGGCTACAACGATGCCTAGAGTTATATCGTGACGATAGATGTTATGGATCATCCAGTCCTCAACATGCAAAACATTGAAATTTATATATTTTTATTTTAGGAAAGAAAAATCTATTTTTCATTCATTCGACGCATCATTTTTATGTGATTCCGTCGAGACAGGTGGAATCCTTTGGGGCTTGTGTATTCGTGTATTTGGGACATGACCCATTTCCGGAGGTGTGGGTTCTCACGGAATCGAAAGAGTTTACGAATGGAGATAACAATGCGATCGCCAATTCGCTAAGAACTTACAAATTACGACTTGAAATAATACCCAGATTAACTCGTGGCTGTTTTTAAAATAATTTCGAAAAATTTCCGTCAATCTTTTATCTTTTCCTCACTATAATTGTATATAGTTACTAGTTACCGCGATTTACATACGACTAAATAAATAAACAATAAGATGTTAAAAGTGGCAAACAATTATTTGATGGGATAAAACACAATTTTGGACTTTTACTGTTTCGATAAATTTGATGGGTTCAGAAATTTTTTTTGGGAGTGAAAGAGAGTGTTTGAGTAATTGGAATAAATATGAATGAGAGATTGAGTTTTTTTTTTAATTATTGTTTCAGGAAAGGATGATTTATCCCCACCAAGTTCCCTGAACGGGTACAGTGCAGACAGTTGTGATGCAAAAAAGAAAAAAGGGCCAACACCTCGACAACAGGAGGAGTTGTGTCTAGTGTGTGGTGATCGTGCATCGGGTTATCACTACAATGCATTAACGTGCGAAGGCTGCAAGGGCTTCTTCAGGCGGAGTATCACGAAGAATGCCGTTTACCAGTGTAAATATGGAAATAATTGTGAGATTGACATGTATATGAGACGAAAATGTCAAGAGTGCAGATTAAAGAAGTGTTTGTCGGTGGGAATGAGGCCCGAGTGCGTTGTACCAGAGTATCAATGTGCTGTCAAACGCAAGGAGAAGAAGGCCCAGAAGGTAGGGGTAAGGACATATCGATTTTTTTTTCTACCTCTCACATAATCGAAAATAATCTGTCAGATATTTTGATGATTATAGATGAAATGAAAATGAAATCATCTCTTTCACTTTTTAAATTTCCAGAATTGTTAGCTTCACGTTAAATTTATTGACATTTAGCCCCTGAAACGTTGGGTAACGACTAGAATATTTAATGACACTCTCGTTTTCCGTTCTTTACGACCTGAAAATTTCGTCTACTGAATTTTCATCAGAATTTCTCAATAGCTTCACGAATTTCTTGCAGTTGAATTGTTCATTTGCCTCTTATGATTTTTAATAATTGTGCAAATAACTTGGTAACAATTAATTGCTGGAAAAACTTTGAAAAATATTTTTTCAAAAATATCATTGAAATCTATCAATGCGTTTTCACCATTTTCACCAATCACAAAATTGATGATATTTCAATTGATATCTGCAAAATAATGATTGATTACTCGCTTCACAAATTACGACGATAATTTCAAATGCCATAAAACAAACTCCCCAATTAAAGAGATAGACAATTTGATCTTTAGAAATAATTTTCATTTTTTGGCTATGTCAATCTAGGACAAGGACAAACCGAACAGTACAACGATGAACGGCTCACCTGGAAGTATTAGTGGAATGGGCACCGATCAGATTAAAATTGAACCCTCGGAGGTAGATTGTCTGCCAATGAATTCTGGCAGTACTGATTCGTTAACAGGAATTCAGAATGGGCTTTCGGTCGTTAATCCTGAGCAGGCTGGGCTCATTCAGAGACTCGTTTATTTCCAGGGACGGTATGAGAATCCCAGCCCCGAGGATCTTGAAAGAATTACGGTACATTTATTTATTATTAATATTTATTTATGAGAACCTTGATAGATGAAGATTCATGAGCATCTGAGTAATGACATCCCTTTCTCTCAGTTATAGAAAATCTTAATCCTTGAATCTTATTAATGACTAATTTTGAAGGAAATTTTTTTATCTAGTGAATCTCCTTTTCATCAAATGTTTCTTTTGTCTTTAATAATTAGTTAATTACGAATTGTTTGGAAGGATTTATAATAATGAGTGGATTCGTTTGTACAGCATCGACCAACCGAAGGTGAAGATCTTAGTGATGTTAGATTCAGGCATATGGCGGAAATAACGATACTGACTGTACAGCTTATTGTTGAATTTGCCAAAAATTTATCGGGTTTCGATACATTGCTGAGGGAGGATCAAATAGCCTTGCTTAAGGCATGCTCCAGTGAGGTAATGATGCTGAGAATGGCAAGAAAGTACGACGCTGCGACAGACAGTATCCTATTTGCTGATAATCAGCCGTACACGAGAGACAGCTACAGTTTGGCTGGAATGGGTGATACAATCGAGGATTTGCTGCGTTTTTGCCGGCACATGTACAATATGAAAGTCAACAATGCTGAGTATGCATTAGTTACGGCTATCGTCATTTTCTCGGGTAAGTTGTCAAAATTCTATCATTAATTTCCATTTGTAAATTTATTCTATTTTATTTGAGAACTTATCACTATTACACAAAAATGAAGAGAGATTGAAAAATTAACAAGTTAACGGGAAATTTTACTTTTTTGTCATCTAGAACGGCCGCAGCTGCTGGAGGGCTGGAAAGTGGAAAAAATCCAAGAGGTATATCTCGAGGCTCTCAAAGCATACGTGGACAGTCGTCGTAAACACAGATCAGGAACTGTATTCGCTAAACTACTCTCCGTATTGACGGAATTACGAACACTCGGCAATCAAAACAGCGAAATATGCTTCAGTCTGAAGCTCAAAAACAAGAAGCTACCTCCATTTCTTGCCGAGATCTGGGATGTCATACCCTAGTTTATTTTCACTCACAATAAACATGCTAATTGCAGTGTAATTGCCACTGTGGCATATTATTTGAATAACGGCGCCCACTGCACATTCGCTATTGTCGAAAAAAAGAAACACTTATTCAATGGTGAAATAACGAGAGATAAAAAATTTAATAAATGGTGTGCGTCAATTTTTTTTACTAGTGCACCACTGTGCCACTGCCTCAGCGTCGTGATAAAATCGTTATCATTCTCTTTATTTTATTTTTTATTCCTAAATTATTGTTTCAACTTTGTGTGGTACTCTGCGATATTGCATCCAGATAAATAATTTATTTTCAACAATCCAATGCATAATTCCACGATTCTTTCTTAATTGAAAATGAAAAGATTCAGAAAAAAATAAGCAAAAAAAGTGTTACTGAACAATTAAGTACCGCGATTATTTTTGTGTCAAATCTCGTTTGAAAAACGAGAGACGTAACAGAAATAAAGTTCACAGAACAAATGAATAATAAAAAAAGAGGATAAAAGGCAGTGGTGAAGGCACCCAGGCTGTGATACGTAGAGACAGTTACAGAGACTATATAAGAAACTATTCTACACTTATATATTACTAAAAAAAGATTGAGGAAAAATGATAAACATAATGATCACTTACCCGGACCCCTCTAAACAAACAAATCATAACATTGAGCAAAATACTAGGTAAGACGTAACCGTTAATGTACAGAGAGAGCTCGAAGATCAGTGTGAGACTGAAAGAAAGAAATTCTTAATTACCTGCTAACTAAGGGGACAGCAGAAAAATAACTTGAACAAACGATTGAGGATGCGAGTAAATTCAATAATAAACAGATAAACAATAATGCGCAGAGAAATGAGAGATTGCGGAAAGAATGGGGGTGAGATACGAATGCGGAGTATTAAATGGAAAAAAAAACTAATAATGTAAGGATTAAGATAATTAATTGAATAATACAAATCTGTGTGCTTTGTATTGGGCACTGTTGAGCAGTGCCTCTGGCACGTACTTTGAAATAAAACTGCGAATTACGATACAATAGAGTCTATATCACGATACATAGCATAATATATTGCCGGCATATACGTTTGTTTGTACGAAGTAATGGAAAGAGATAAAAGTAATGAGAGTTTGTGAAATGATTGAGGATCATTGCGGGTGGAGATCGAGTCTTTGATGGTGGAGAAATGTGTGAGCATGATCGAAAGATTGTTTCTAGACGTTTAAGGGGAAATAACCGAGGCTAGAAATGTAGATGAAGAGTTAAAGGTCTTTTAGTCAGTCAGCTAGGCTTTAGGTGACCGAGTCAAGTGCAAAGCCCTGTGCCTTCAGCAGCGGACATCGGCTCACCGAACAAAATAATATGAGAACATTTTTAAAAGAAAACGAAATCCATGAAATTTAACCGTCCGTTTTAATTTTTTAATAAATAAGGAGAGAAGTAAAATGGAAAAAAAATGAAAAATAATGTAATAAAATGTCATGAAAAAAAAATATTAATAACGTATGGATTAAATTTAAATTTAAAGAATTAAATTTAAATTGAAGGTCATTGAAATTGTAAATTGAGGTTGTTCATTAAAGAATAATGATGAGACTAAAGATTATTTGGGGTTTGGGAAGTGGAGGAAGAATTTTAGATGATTTGAGGATTTTGAGGAAATTTTTGGGATTTTCAAGGTGGGGGAGGATCTGAAGCGACGATTACGAAGATTTTAGGCATGTTGAAACATGATACGAATAAGATTAATTGAGCATTTTTAGGTGAAATGGTGAGAGATAGCAGATCATTGGAAATATTTGGGAAGTTAGGGATTTTAGGGGAGAACGTCAGGACTACTTTTGGAGGTGAATTTATTTATTCCCAAAATAAGTCACCCGATATTCCCTCCTCGATTAGTTTCCCAAATGTTCGTCAAGAGAGTAGTGAAATCATTTTCACGACTATTTTGTCGTGTTATTTGTCGAATTCTCGTTGAAGATTTTTCGATAAATATTTTTTTGCGATATTGATGAAACATTACTTGTGATTTTAGTTTTTTTGCTTCATCTATCCTCATTATTTCACTGCTTAATTGACGAAAATTTTAAGAGAAGAAAAACGTCAAGAAGGATTGAGATGAGACCCAGAGACTTCTTCCGAGTGAGAATACTATAAAAAGAAAATAGTAAAATTATCAAGCGTGATCCAGTGAAAAGAAAACAATTATCCATGAAATTCTTGATGTTGTAACACTGTTACTCTATTGCTATTGATTCATTGTATGCAGTTATATTCTGTAGTCAACTACCACGCAAGTGATAACGTCATTATTTGTGTAAAGTATTAAGAGCATAAAATGTGAAAAAAAATATATATGAATTATCATGGTGAACATTAAAAATAACGAAAATTACACATATATTGACGTATGGCAGTGATGTAAGAGTGTAATTAACGAACAAAAAGCTCTTCACAATTTTCAATTACACCAGCAAGTGACAAATTGTTAGCAACAATTTATCCTGTCGATAATTATTATGAATATTAATAATGTACGTGTCATGTTGAAGATTCCATCATGTTAAGGAATATCATTCGAATTCATTTTTACATTTTAATTGAAGGAAAATCCTTTTGCTGATTCAGGGATTTATCAATTTTTATTATCATTATGAAATTGTTGAATTTGTACATTAATTATTAATTATTAAGGTGTAATTGTGTTCATAAAATTTATCATCTTTTTTTATAACATTAAAGAATATTAAAAGTGGATTGCAATTGAATTTACCAATTTTTTGTCAATCTTCGACACCATAAAACAAATAAAAATTATTTTTAATGATTAATCGAAGGGAAAGTTTTTTATAAATACAATGGTCTTTGAGAATATTAACTCTAATGAAAAAATTGTTTTTTATCGTTTTTAATTAGATTTTCGGTAATGGAAAATTTTCGATGTTTCTGGAATACTTTTCAGAATGCGGAATATTCGAGGCAAATGATAAATCTCGTGAATCAGCATCCGGAGAGAAATAATCTCAATAACTTTAGCATTTAACAATTGGTGGAGTGGTAAAACGTGGTTTGGTAATGAGTCCTTATCGAACCGAAAAAAGATTGAGCTGAAATTTTCTCAATACCTATTAATTTTTTATAAATTTGACAAATAATCTGTAAAATCATTGTCAAGAAATTCTAAAAGCCGGCTTCTCTCCAGTATTGATTAAAAATTTAATAAAAAAATTATTGCGTGAACCTGAAACTCTACCGAGATAAATCCTCATCAAATCAAAGAATTTTCCAAGAAAATTCCACATTGTACCACTCTTCTAATTAAAAATTAAGAATCTCGATGAAACTACTGAACTAAACTACGTAACGCCGCAAGGCAGACACTGCCACACCATGAGTGAACGTGAGAACACCACGATTAATAAATTTCATCATTTGTAATTCCCGCAAAAGGAAGACCCGAAACAGAGAGCGAAAGAATAAAACACGAAACATAGTAGAAACTTCAAAAAAAAAAAGTAAATAAAAAGGGCATCGCATTCAGCGATAGCAAATGATTTAATTAAAAAATGATAACATCCTCGTTGCATATACACTGACACAAGTTGAATCTACCAATACAACACTTTTACCACTATTGTCGTACCTCATTAACTCGTAGGGAAATTAGCTCTATTGTTATACAAGTGTATATGATGAAGTAAATAAGCACCGCCAGTGTGTACCACTGCACATTTATATTTCCATGGGGGAAAACTTGATTAATTAACTACTAAAGGTGATTAATGAATTAAAATCGAAGGAACATGTCATCAAGCCGTCGAGAAAGAAAAAACAATTCTTGAAAATTCATTGAAATCTGAATTAAATGAAATTCATGGATCACTTGAGTGATTCATTTATTAATTGAGTCTCGATTCCATCGAGTCCTTAACTGAACTCTTGATTAATCCACTCTGTATTACGTCGGGTGCATTAATACTTATCTAATTCATTCTGCGTAAAAAATCGTTATAAAAAGATAAAACATGGAATATAAGTAATAAATAAATTGCTGAATCGTAGGGGATTGCGAGTGGAAACTCGCGGAACGTGGACGGCGGGTCAAATCGTATGGAATAGAAATTCGCGGAAGTTCATTAATTTTTAGTTGATTCGGTGGGTAATAGAGAATTTATTCGAGAATTGGTGGAGTCATTGAGGGGAGATTACTTTCAGTTTAGGTTTTAACCATCAATGGTTATTCAAGTCAGAATTTATATAAATTTCAAAAGTAATATTGATCATGAAAACCCGATTTTTTTTGTACCTCTTTGCAATTTACGAAACATAAAATGATGAAATCAAAGAACGCCGGGTATTGAATTTTTTATATCAAAAACTTTTTTTCTCATTTCCAAAAAAATGTGGAAAATTAATCGCAAGTCATTCTTTCAATACGTGAAATATTGATGGATTATTTTATTGTAGAACAATGAGTACTAATTCATCGTATTCAAATCACGGAAATTATTCTTATTTTTGAAGGTCTCAAGAAATAGCGGGAAATAATAATTTCAATTCACTGCGTTCTAATGAAATTGCCATTTATTCCTAATTTTAACATCATTTCTCGAATTAACAATGCATTAATTGATAAAAATGTTAAAAGAAGAACGGAATGATGATGGAAGGGAGGAAGGACAATGACTTCAGTACACCCAGCCTCCGTTATAATTCTGATATTTTACGAAATAAATGGATAATCAACGAGGACATAAAAATGAAGCAATCTGATAAAATTCGTACATATGACGTATTATTAATTATATATGCAATTCTACGATCACTGCCAATGGGCGTTACTGATAACGTTCGAGTTTCGTTATCTTAGATATGTTGTCGTATTTTTCGGCCTCCGCGAGTTCGAGAATATTCGGGGGAAAAACACCGAGCTGGTGATTTGTTCATAATACTGCCAAGCGTAGAAAATCGAATCATTGTATTTATAAATGAAACAATGGGATGAGAATAGCGATAAAGGGACTTGTTCGTTGTTATTGTAGGGATAATTGGCTAGATTTCGATTTGGGGCTGGAAATGCTCAGAGCTACACAGAGACACAACATTCATATTTCTCTTTTCTCAATCCTTTTTTCATTGTTTATTCTGTCTCCAGAACGAAGGGTGGAAGGAGTTGAATGGAAAATATATTTGAAAATTTCAAGAGGCGTACAGATTTAAAAAATCACTGGAGATGTATGATGCATAATAATTGTCAATTTTTTGTGTTCAACTTTTTTCAGTTCTTCGTTAATTTTTGTTTGAGAATTTCATACTGATTTTCATTCATACATTTATCGATGAGTGATCGATGTCCTCAGGTTTTATCATTGGACCCGCCCTCTTCGGTACCGCGAAGTCCAAAACAAAACAGAATGACTAGTTACTCTATCTGTCTTCCCCCATTATTTCTTTACTTTTCGTTCCCTCCCTTGAATTCAATAGGGCGAGGAATATTCTTGGCTGAAAGATATTAAAATTATTTTATCGAATACGATTAACAATAATTATTTGGTATTCGCTGCATATCCTGCAGCAGCTATAATTCTGTATACGGAAAAATTGGGCTTTCTTCAATATTTTTCGGAATATGTTTCCACCTTCGGAAATATTTGTAAAAATGTGCATATTCTTCATTCAAGAAATTCCTATCTCCTCGAATGACACAAAAAATTGTTTCTCATTTAAAAAGTCGAAATCAAAACACTCTAGGTCTCGCTGTGCCACAGATAATCCCAAAACAATAAAAATTTAACAAAAAAACATTAGGAAATTTCGGGAAAGTGGCAAGAAAAATTACATAAATTATGTTATGAGTGTAATTATTTATTATATTTGATTAATATCAAAATTATAGGATGGAAATTGACGAATGGTGCTTTGGAATGAATCAGACTGAATTATCGTTGTTAAATTTATTAATTGAAAAAAATTGGGAATTTACACCCGACAAAAAGGGAAGTTAGATTGGATCTTGTAATTATGATTTCTATTTCTAAATTTTATATGCGCTATTTAGAACCCTTGCTGACTATCCTCGCAAAAATTTATTGATTAATGAAAACGAAAAAACCATTTTGGAGAGTAAAAAAGTGAAGAAACATCAAATTATTTGGTTTTATCGCAATGATCATGAGCATTATATTCTAATTGATAACGATAAATTACAGATTACTGTATACATAATTTTAAGTCACGTAATGATCTTAATCTCATGAGAATTCATTAACCAAGATCGACGAAAAATTAAATCAGCAGTGAAATGGTAAAAGGTTGGAGTAGATTTCAAGAAAATGCCAAAAGATTTTTTATTCTGCAGAAGAAAAAATTT